CCAAAATATCAGATGCTGATTTCGGTTCCTGTTTCAGCTGATTAGCCGGTTTCGGATATGACATGAACTGTATTGGATTTTTCCTGTCTTTGTCATTATACAGTACTAGTTCCATCTCATCCTCAGTATTCTCAACGCAAACTACCAGTTTTTGATCTGGCTCTCTTCTTGCTATTTTACCTGAGGACAATGCCAAGTCAATCAATTCTAATTGAATTTTTTCCAATTCATCATTCCAGGTAAATTCATTACCTTTTGTAGCACCATAGAGTGGTTTAGCCAATTTCGCATAGCCCGGTATCAGATCCCTGATAAAATTCATGTGTCCCATGAAACTTTGCAACCCTTTTAAGGTTGTTGGGCTATTCTTTCTCAAATCTTCCAGTTTCTCTTTGGTGCTTTTAGCAAGTCCTCGATCCAATCCTGTTGTAGCAAAGCCTAGAAAATCAACTTCTCCTTTGCCTATTTCAATTTTCTTGTAACTAGGCTTAAAACCCACTTTTATCAGTCTAGTTAACACCTCATCAACGATTTTCAGATGTTCATCGGGGTCGTCATTGACAATGAGTAGGTCGTCTATGTACACAGTTACAGGCAGCCCTTCCATTAGCGACACCACAATTGATTGAAACGCATTTGGGCTATTCATATACCCTTGTGGTAATCTCGTGTAACAATAGCTCTTTGTTTTGAAGGTAAAAGCAGTTTTGGCCATGCTGTTTTCAGTCAATGGAACTGTCCAAAAACCATTTGCCAAATCTATCTTAGTCAAAATTTTACCTTTGGGCAAACCATTAGTCACGTCTTTCGCATTGATCAGATACCTAGTATCAGGTTCAGAAATTTTGTTCAATGATTTGAAATTCGTTACAAGGCGATAAGAATTGTCGCTTTTCGGAACCGCCTGCAGCGGTGAATTAGTCACTGGATTTTCTATCTCTTTTATTACTCCCAATTGTTCCAATTCCTTAATTGTTTCCTCAATTTCTGGTATGGCCTTTTTATTAATTGGGTACTGCCTTTGTGGTTTATGAATCCCACCTTTTATTTCATACTCATATTCCTTTCCTAACTGGCCTACATCGTTTTTGAACCTCGCAGCTCCCTTCTTGTGTCTTTCAAGGATTCCTCTTAGTTTAGTTTTGTCTAAGATGGTTTCTTGTACCATTCTGTCTATTTCTCCCTTTAGGTCGACCATTTTCATCCATCTGACTGTAATGTTTCTATTACATTTTCCCACAATTTTAGTCGCATCCTGTAAAGTCATCAAGTTTGCTGCCTGATCAGTAATAACGGCTATGTCTTTCCACATGTACCAATTTGTGGTAACTAGACCTTGTTCTTTGCTAAAACCGTACACTGTTATCATGCCTTCTTGCTTTATGGCATCTTTAGGCAAATCGGTGAGACAACTAATTTCCGCACCTGTATCAAGAATAAAGGTCCTTTTATTGTAATCTATATAAAAGAATCCATCAATTTCTTTTACCAGGTCAGATTGGATGGTCGCTTTTCCCTTAGGGATGTCCTATTCTTCTTTTCGTTCAACTTCATTTAATCTCACACTTCTAGTCTTGGCCTGATCATTACTACGTGAGTTTTTCACGGTTGGTTTTTGTTTAGATCTTTGCTCCCTGATTTTGGTTTGCTGCTCTGAAGTCATTTTGTCCCACTCATCTTTAGAGATGTATCCTGTGTTAGACTTTCTATCATCCCTAATGAATACTGACTTCTGCTGTGAGTTAGGCTGTACCTGTCTCCCTCGACTCTGAGACCTGCCTCTCATCTGGAATTCAGTTTTCCTGACTGGGTTTCTTTGTTCTCCCCGGCCTCTGGGCATTTCAAATGGCCTGGGCTGCTGCTGATAATTCCGGCCCTGCTGTTTATTTCTGAGTCTCTCTGAACGTCTGACATATTGCTGTCTATCACTAGTAAGGTTCTGAGAATTAAGATTTTTCTTTCTGTCTGCCTCATCTTGTTTGCGGCCCCTATCGAATCGTACTGCGAACGTTTGTAATTCGTCCCATTTAGTCTCATTACCCCACGTTTTTAACGAGGCCAGACCTGGAAGGTCCTTTCTGAACTTTTTCAGTTCTCTCACTATTTGTCTTGGACTTTTGCCGCTTTCAGCCCGACTTTTGCAGAATATCAAAACCCCTGTATTTTTTAGTTCCTCTAGACGAGTCGCATACTTCTCTCTGGAAGTTGAACCAGAAATGTTCTTTTTGTGGAGGGAAACATCCTCCATTTTCAGATTTAATCCTACCAGCTGATTAATCATTAGCTCTATGTCTTCATCACGTATGTCCATTCTCTGTCCTAGATCAACTATCTTTTGACAGTTTTTCATCTTATTTTTTGCATCTAATCTCATGGTGTTAAATATCCCTATCTCTGTCGCAGTTATTTTATGCTTAGGTGACTCTTTGGTTTTCATGACTGGGCTATAGTCACATTCCTCCTCTGAGGAGGAGAATTCACTCGAGTCAGAATCAGATTGCTCACAAGAGTCGCTTTGTTCTCTACACAGCTCCCTAGCTCTGTAGCTATCTTTAGCTCGGTGCTTTAACTTCGCTGAGGAGCTTGCTACTTCAGCTAGATCTATACCCATTCTACTCTTTGGGCTTCTTAACTCTGGTTCCTCCGTTTCTGCTTTGTCCTCATCGGAGTACAGATCGTATGAGCTATTCTTATCATATTTTGTTGGGGCTTTTTCAGAATTTTGCCTACTATAGATAGGTATATCTGACTCTCTCAACACTTCCCTTCTCAGCTCAAATATATCACCCATAATAGGGTCTCTTCCACCCTTTCCTGCATTTTCTGGCAGATGTAAACGCAGTAACATTGATAGAGCCTTCTGACACGAGTCTTTGTGTTCCGCAATCATATCAAGCTTAGCTTTTGTGCTCGTGTTAGGCATGTCCAAAATTTCATCAGAGGTAGGGCCTGTAGACGCCAGAAAAAGCCTCTGCATGAATCCTGGTTCATCCCTTTTAACTCTGTTCTTCAAACTATGTCCTGGCTGTATCAAAGTTTTTATTCCTGCTAGATCAATATGTTCCCTAGCATGACTACTACTCTTCCTCTCTCGAGATAGCGGTCTTGATTTTCTATAATTGACTTTATTTCTCTGTGGGAGAGGTTCATCACGCTGTAACGCATCACCAACATCACCTTCCCACTCACTATCGTCAGTCTCAGTGGCTGCCTTGCCACGTCTACTTTTTCTTTTAGCTGATCTGTCTATGCTGTTTACAGCATGGATCAGTTCACTTGCTAGTGGTATATGTTTAAGTCCAGGACTCGTATCCTGGAAATCTAACTCTCTTTGGGTGCTTGGGCCAGGTTTTTCTACATCAGAAGAGATTTCTGTCTCGTAAGAATTCTTACGCTGTTTTTGAGGCATTGCTGTGCCATCATACATTACTCTAGTTTTACCATAGTATACTTCTATACTAGAGTCTGTCGTTGGTTTGTAAGTTACTTCCATCCCTGGATCAAATTGAACTTTAATTTTGTCACCTTTCTTTCGGTGGTCATTAATTCTCTCTATAATGGCCCTAACATCTGCTGCTGAGGTGCAAATGAATTCACGTCCATTATTTATCTCATGATCTCCTACATACCATTCCTTATCCTTTTCCTTCGCAGCTTTCAACTTGTGAAAATTATCACGTTTCGTTACAGTGATTCGATAAGTTGATTCCTGCTGCTGATTTGGATAAGTACTTGAATCTGGCGGTAGCTGAGTCATTTTGGACCATTCAGGTCTCTTTATCGGAAATGCAGACTAGGAAAACTATCTCCCTAGGGATTCTTGTTAGTTTTCACAGATACTCTCTCTGTGTTTTCCGCGCGGTTCTTCGCTTTCTTTTACATAGAGCGTCCTCTATCTATTTTGCGAAATCATTCGGGTCATTCATTCGATTGATTAAATTTACATATTGCTCCCGGTTAATCTAATAATTAACACAGGACGAGCCCCCATGCAAAGGTTGTCACGATTAATACCGTTCCAAATTATCCTAGATCCTACTTAGATCCTCGAGATAATCCCGCGGTAACTAAAGAGCCTATCCTTTAGTCGTGCCTTTAAGAGTTAGGTGATCAGTCTCTACAAATTCGTATTCTATTATACAGATAATAAATTATAAATATAATAGATTTCCCCTTTATAGTATAAGTCTACCTTTTTAGGTACTCTTGGACCGTGTCTGCTATACAACAATAACTCTGCTGTAAGCTGCCTCTTTGGCTAGGCTATTTAATCAATCAAGTCTCACAGTGAACATTATCACATCAAAAAAGAGTTCTCACCCTCCTGCAGATTCTTCTAGTTGGGATCCTTCTGATCCAAGGAGAAGAAAGCAAAAGTACTCAAGAATCCAAGGTCCAGTCGAGATTGATAATAATAAATGTTAACAGAATTTATTAAAAGAATCAAAATGAAAAGAACACTTGTTACAGATTCAAGGTTAAGTACTAATTCTAACAGAGTAATATTAGCTAAGCATATGGCTTCTTGCATTCGATAACTGCTGGTATATCGAACTGGAGGTAGCAAGGAAGAGCAACGTGTCTCATCCAGGTTTCTCTTTTATAGTATAAATCAAGCTGTCATCAGCATGGTTGATAAGATACACTCCACCAGGCGCGTGACTGTCAGCTCCTCATCACGGGTTTGGCTTGCTGATCCCAGCAAACTCAGAAGATCCATTATATTTATGAACAAACATCATATTCAATACTTCATCACATGATAAAGGGGAACACCCAGATAGACAACATTCTATTCATTCAACATAATATTTTAGATAAGTGAGCAACAGGTTATTCATTAAGCATGGCATGCTAGATAGTTGTACCATTCACAAGTAGAGCTAGCTCATTAAACACAGACTTCTTATTGTGACCTTTTCTGCGCTTACGATGAGTTGAAGAGGTAACTGAGGCGAAGGTAATGCCATCCTCAGGCGGGCACTTAGTGCCAGGGTTTGATGCAAGACTTAAAGGAACAACTTTACTTAGCTTCTTCCCTGGATCCACGTTTTAAGTCCCTGCCTTTTTTGACTGATGATGAGCGTGAGGAACTCTTCACCCAACTCACTGATAACACTAAGACACTGGCAACGGAAAAAAGCTCAGTAAGTGCTGTATAGTGTGAATAAAAACATTATGTATTTTTATTATTAGTAATGATACACAGCAATTATGAATTTAAAACTAACTATATTATTTCAAAAAGGGTGATAACTATTTACAACACAATTCCTTTTCTTTCTCAACAGAGTGGACCAATAAATGCAGAGGCCAATGAAGCAGAACCAGCTGAGGACTCTGGACCCCCATCCAAGAAGAAAAGAGACTCTTGCGCATTGGCAGATCTCCTTGGGGAGACATATACTCCAGAAGCGGACTCCATAAAAACAACAGATGATGCAGTAGATGAGGTGATGAAGTACAAAGAGGTAAAACCAGTTCCACTCAGCACTAATCCACTTAGCTGGTGGAAGGAGCATAAGGTGGAATTCCCTCTTTTGTAATGCCAAGCTAAGCAATACCTCTGTATTCCTGGTAGTAGTGTACCAGCTGAGAGAGTCTTCTCAACTGCTGGTGACATTGTCACTGCCCAGAGAAGTGCACTGACGCCTGAGCATGTAGACCAGCTGCTGTTTTTGAACAAAAACCTGCATGTGCACTAGTTAGATAACAAATGCTTCAGAGTTAAGTTAACTGGAGTTAACTCAGTTAACATGTTGTTATATATATATTGTTCTAAAATGTTATGAGTTATATGATGGAAATGTCTGTAGTGTGTCCTTCATTTAGACACAGTAAATAAGCCAAAGGTTCTCTGATCAGATGTTAAGTGTTATTTATTGTTTACAAAATTATAATATTGCACTTTTTTGAGTATGCACATTTGTGCTTCTGTTTACATTTCTTGAACTTGAATGTATAGGAAGAAAGAAATATCCTTTCTACTAAGTTACATGCACTTTAGAGGTGTTGTTAAAGCACTGTACAGTGCTTGTTACAGTTTTGTTTGTATTCAACATTTACAATATTTTACAGTTTATTCTGCTGAATAAATAAACCATGACAGGAAACCAACATGCTGGGGTCAATTTGTTCTTTAACATTGGTGATACTGCACACATTATTTAAAAATATACTCAGGCACTTAATTGTGTATTTACTTATTATTGAATCGATATCGAAGCTAATAAATCAATATTGAATCGAATCGAATCGAAGTCCCAGGAATTGAAATCGAATCGAATTGTGAAATTCCTAACAATAACCAGCCCTAGTAAACACCCACATTTTATAAGAATTTTGTCACTAGGAGCTACTTTTTGCATTAAGATTCTTTATGAATACGGGCCCAGGTGTCTTCAATAACGCTCAATCATCACTCAATTATTCACTTAATTATCAATTATTCACTTAATTATATAATTAACTTTAACACCGCTTCAGTGTTCATTTAACACTCTGCTCAGAGTTTATTTAATTCACACTTTAAAGTGTTAATTTAACACTGGGGATTTTGCTGTGTATGCAAACGTGGAATACTGGATTTCTTCACTGTCTGCTGGGAAATCTATTTCTTCTTTTTCTTTCCTTTTCTTTAAGCTGTAGGGGGGAGAGGATGGGACGATGATTGTAATTGTAACTGTTAGAAACCCAATAAAGAGAATATATAACAAAATGACTTGCACATTTATTGTGTCACAAGATGTGTTGTCTCTGAGCACACTCACATGTGTTAAAACTGACACAACATGTCATTTTTTTAACACATCTCGTTTTAGAGTGCAGGAGAAGATCCATATGTGGAAGATTCACAATATTCTTACAGATGTTAAAGATCTAATGAACATTACAAAAATTCTATAACACTTAATTCTTCCTCACAGTAAGTTGTTCATTATTTTTAGGTTACGCACTGAAGATGGGAGAACCAAATAAACATTTGAATGTGGTCCTACTGGGGAAAACCAGAGCTGGGAAGAGTGCATCAGGAAACACAATCCTGGGACGAGAAGCTTTCATCTCAAAGAAAGGCTCCAGATCTGTCACTCGAGATGTTGCTGTTGAATCTGGGACTGTTAGTGGGTTTCCAGTCACTGTTTATGACACACCAGGATTATTTAACACACACATGAGAGATGAAGAGATTCAGCAGATGATAAATGAAAATGTTCTTCAGAAATGTGAATCAAGTCCCTGTGTGTTTCTGCTGGTCATCAAAGCTGACAGTTTCACTGAAGAAGAGAGAAAAACTGTGGAGAAGATTGAGGAGCTGTTAGGAGAAGAGCGCTTGAAGAAAACCTGGATTCTCTTCACTGGAGGAGACGAACTGGAGGAAGAAAACACAACTATAAAAGAGTTCATCAATGACACTGAAGCACTGAAGAGACTCGTTCAGAAATATGATCAGAGATATCACGTGTTCAACAACAAGAAGAGACACACTGAACAAGTTAAAATGCTGCTTATAAAAATACTTAAGCCATATTTTGACATACAGGGTGAGACTTTTATATATCATGGATGTTTTTTATATAAAAAAAATTTGCTGTGTGTTTGTTAAATTCTTTATTATTTTCTTTTTTTATGATGTAGAAGCAGAAGTAGAAGAGACATTGAAGCCGAATCCACTGATGAGTAAAATACCAGCCAACATTGACCCAGACGCTCCAGTCTCCAGTCCCTCATCCAGACGGATTGTTCTTCTGGGTAAAAGTGGAGTTGGGAAGAGTGCATCTGGAAACACAATACTGGGACAGAGAGAGTTTAACTCTGTGATGAGAATGAATTCAGTAACCCGTGTTTGTTCAGATGCTCACGCCACTGTTTCAGGCAGATCTGTGTCTGTAGTTGATACTCCTGGATTATTTGACACAGAGATGAAAACTGAAGAGTTAATGATAGAGATAGCGAGAAGTGTTTATCTATCCAGTCCTGGACCGCACGCTTTTATCATTGTGTTTCCTGTGAATATGAGATTCACTGATCATGAGCAGCAGATTCCTCAGATTATTGAGATGATGTTTGGAGAAGAAGTGTTAAAATACTCCATCATTCTCTTCACTCATGGAGATCAGCTAGATGGAGAGTCTGTAGAGGAGCTCATTGAGGAGAACTGTAGATTAAGAGATCTAGTTGATCAGTGTGGAGGCAGATTTCACATCTTCAACAATAGAGATATGAATAACAGAGATCAAGTGAATGATCTACTGCAGAAGATTGACACAATGATAGAGCAGAATGGAGGAGGACACTACAGTAATCAGATGATTGAAGATGCTCAGAGATTCAGACGAGAGGAAGAAAAGAGGAGACAGAGAGAGGAAGAGGAGAGAAAACAACAAGAGGAGAAGCAACAACAAGAGGAGATTAAGAGAGTGATAAAGGAGACAGAGGAGAGACTCAGAGCAGAGATGAGAGCTGAAAAAAAGAGATTGAGTGAGGAAGAACAGAGAAAACAAAAGGAAAAAAGAAAAGAGGAGATTGAGAGAGTGAAAAAGAAGACAGAGGAGAGACTCAAAAAAGAGTTTAAAGCTCAGAGAGAAGAAGATAAGAGAAAAGAAGAGGAGAGAGTGAAAAAAGAGGGCGGATTAATGCAGTTTTTTTATAAGCATCAGCGTTATTTTTATTTTGCAGCTGTTGCAGTCGGCATTGTTGCTGGTGGAGTTGCTGGTGGATTACTTGCTAATGCTTATTTTGGTGGAGCTGTTGCTAAAATTGCTGTTTGTGGAGCTGGAGCTATTATTGGTGGAGCTGGTGGTGGTGGAGGTGCAAGTGGAACAGTTGCTGGAGCTGTTGGTGGAGCTGTTGCTGGAGCTGCTACTGTTGGAGCTGTTGGGGGAGCTGTTGCTGGAGCTTTAGGTGGAGTTGTTGGTGGAATTGTCAGTGGAGCTGTAGGTGGAATTGCCAGTGGTACTGCTATTGGAACTGCTGCTGGAGCTGTAGGTGGAGTTGTCGGTGGTACTGTTGTTGGAGCTGTTGCTGGAGCTGTAGGTGGAGCTGCTGTAGGTGGAGCTGATAGTGGAACTTTTGCTGGAGCTTATGATGGAGCTGTTAGAGGAGCTTGTGACGGAGCTGCTGTTGGTGTTGTTGCTGGAACTCTTGTGGGTGGAGCTGTTGTTGGAACTGTTGGTGGAGCTGTTGTTGAGATTGTTTCTGGAGCTGCTGCTGGAGCTGTTGTTGTTGGGGCTGTTTCTGGAACTGCTGTTGGAGCTGCTGCTGGAGCTGCTGCTGTTAAAGCTTGTGCTGGAGCAAATGCTGGAACTGTTGATTGACTTCGCCAAACTGCTAATTCTCCGTACACTGAAATAAATGTTTTGTCAGTTCTACAGAAAATCTATGTCATGTGGTAACATCTACAATAAATGGTTTTGATTAAAGCCCTGTTTTAAGATCATTTCTTATGAAATAGAGCGGTTAAGATTGAAATTTGGACAGATGCTGCTAGCCCGAGGAATTTTGGTTTCTGTGGTAGCACCCCCACACCTCTACAATGGTTGCATAGACAACATGAACAATCCTTCATAAAACACATTAAACTTTCGTTTACAAAGACGTGAAACTCACCGAGTGGCCTGGGGTGTTCAGTATGCCGCTCCATCTGAAAGCAGGTGATGGGGATTTACTACTAATCAAGGAACCGGCTTTACTGATTAGATGCGCATAACAATATCGTGCGATATATCGCCCAGCCCTAGTGTTCACTGATATGCTCACACAAAAATCGCTGCAAAAGATGCTTTCCAACAGGTGTTATCATAGTTTTTGTCCAACTCCATTGGACTTGTGTTGGATGTTCTGTGATGTACGATATTACTCCGCCGCCTATTATTTGTGTCTATTATTATAGTGTCTATTATTCAAGCTCTCAACGGATGAATGTACGGTTGTGAGGCGTTTGGAAAAATAGGTTCACAGTTTTACAACGAATTATAAAACACCTGTTGGAAAGCATCTTTTGCAGCGATTTTTGTGTGAGCATATCAGGGAACACCCCAGACCACTCCAGAGTCCAGACCAAAAAAAAGTGAGTTTCATGTCTTTGTAAACTTTAACAGTTTAACTTTAAAAGTTTAACACTCAAGCCCCTTCATTTTTTGTCTCAAAATGTATTGTGCCTGTCATGGAAATTTTAAACTGAACAGTTTTTAACAGTTATGTTATACAACGTATATATAAAATAACATTAAGCATGCTAACATTCTGAAACAATCTACTAAGACATTCTGTACTTTACATGAATGTATTTGTGTCTTTTTGAAGAAAACCCATGACTGTGTGTATAAATAACACATATGGGAAATGAAACTAGACAGATGACTAGGTTAAAACTTGTGATCAAAATGAAGTAATCATTAAAACAAAGCTTACTTTAACAGAATAGTCTGTTTATGAAGAACCAATCAAATTCATGTCATTTTGTCATACCTCCATACAGGGGCGCAGATAGCACTGGGGACGGGGGGGGACATGTCCCCCCCAGATTCATAGTGACCCGATCCGTCCCCCGCCCTCACTATCCCTATGAAAGTCGACAAAAATCGGTAAACCAGAGGATAACCAGTGTTTTCGCTAGCCAAAGTTATTGTTGTGCGTGCCCCGACCCGATCTGAAGCAGCGGCGGGCCAGGACACGCACAATAATAATCTACTACACCGGTCACCATTACTTTGTACCCATGTTCTCACTACACGCTGTTCTGTCGTCAATAAACACACGATGCCATCATGCCACCGACGTTTACACTCTCTCTCAGTGTTTTTTTTTTTTTTATTCAATCATTGCTACACTCTCTCTCAGTGTGTGTGCTACGACTCCTCTTGAGTGACGTCCCCAGGGTCCTATGGTGAGCTAGCTGCCTCCATCGTGCCTGTAGTAGCGGACCGGTAACCATAGTGATCATATACAATCTATGACTGAGCTGATCGGTGATTTTCTTAACTGAAAAAATAAAATAAAAAATCGACTGTATAAATGCCACATTAAGGCATCATCTCGTTTTTGTTTTGTTTTTAAAAACCAAACTGTTACGGAACAGACTCCAGAGTACACAGGGGAATTGATGATAACCAGCTTTATTGGTATAACAGTAGGTAAGTCACAGAGGGAATGGATGACAGTGCTGGATGGCGGATGATGGATATACCAATCGACTGTCCTTACTGGTGATGAGGAATAATGGTGTAGGTAATAGAAGGATCTCTGATGCTTTAGGAGAGGAACGGAGAGATCGCTGGAGATCGTACGGAGATCGCAGGAGCTTGGAGTGATGAATGGAGTAATCGCTGGAGATCAGGGATATCGCTGGAGAGAATGGAGAGAACGCTGGATAGCTGGTAAGATAGCAACAACGTGAGTCTGTACATCTACAAACGAGACCAGACAAAGTGACTGTGGCTGACGAGTGCTTAAATACATCCTGTGAAGAGTGTCTGATGTCGTGCAGGTGTGTGAATAATTAATACTCAGGTGAAGGTGATCTCTGTGATGATGTGGTGATGGAACCTGGCTGATCTCTGACAGTACCCCCCCCCTCCACGGCCCGCTCCTGAGGGCCGTGGACCCCGACGTCGTGGTGGTCGACCTCTTCCTCGGGGTGCTGGGCGGTCTGGGTGAGTATCGTGGAAAGTGGTGAGGAGGGTCGGATCTAGTATATCCTCCCTGGGTGTCCATGAACGTTCCTCAGGTCCATAGCCTTCCCAGTCCACTAAATACTCTAGACGACCGCCACGACGTCGGGAGTCCAAAATTTCCTTGACAGTGTAGACTGTTCCATCCTCAAGTACCAATGGCAGGGGGGGTTCTTCCACAGGTTCAGGTTCTGTTGAGGGAATAGGAACAGGTGAGTAATAGGGCTTGAGAAGTGATACATGAAAGGTAGGATGAATTCTGTAGTGTGGGGGTAACTGTAGTTGGTAAGAAACTGGATTAATTTGCCGTGTGATGATGAAGGGACCAATGTATCTGGGACTCAGCTTCTTGCAAGGCAGGCGTAGCTTGATATCCCTTGTAGAGAGCCATACCTTCTGTCCAGGCTGGTAAGTGGGTGGTTCAGCTCTTCGGGTGTCTGCCTGGACCCTTTGTCTGCGCACCGCCCTCTGGATGTGATGATGGGCGTCGTCCCAGACTCTCTCACTCTCTCGGAACCAATAGTCAACCGACGGAACATCAGAGGGTTCTCCTGACCACGGAAACAATGGAGGCTGGTAACCGAGTACGCACTGGAAGGGAGTGAGACCAGTAACAGGCTGACGTAGTGAGTTCTGGGCGTACTTGGCCCAGCCTAAGAATTGGTGCCAGGAGTTCTGATGACCTTGACAGAAGGTTCTCAGGAAGCGTCCAATTTCCTGAATCTTTCTCTCCGTTTGCCCATTGGTCTGAGGATGGTAACCTGACGACAAGCTAACGGCCACCCCCAGGAGTTTGAAGAAAGCTTTCCAGACCTGGGAGATGAACTGCGGCCCTCTGTCTGAAACAATATCCTCTGGAATTCCGTAATATCGGAACACGTGGTTGAACAGCAATTCGGCTGTTTCCAGGGCAGTAGGAAGTCCTCTTAATGGGATGAGACGGCAGGACTTGGAAAAGCGATCAACAATTACAAAGATGCAGGTATTACCTTCTGAGGGTGGTAGGTCAGTAGCGAAATCAACTCCTAGATGTGACCAGGGGCGTCGGGGAATGGGTAATGGAAGGAGCTTGCCGGATGGAAGATGACGTGGGTTTTTGGTGATAGCACAGTCTGAGCATCCCTGGACGAATCTTCTCACATCCCTTGCCATGTTGGGCCACCAGAAGCGATCTTGTAGCAGTGAGAGGGTGCGATTTGCCCCAGGATGACCAGTGCCCACGGACAAATGTGCAGAGTGTATAAGGTTATTGCGTTGTGACCGAGGAACAAAGATGTGATTGGGTGGACATCCTGGCGGAGATGGGTTAGCGACACTGGAGGAGGTGATCTGTTGATGTAGAGACCATTTAATGGGACTCAGAAGAATCTTTTGGGGCAAGATGGGTTCAGGATCCTCTGTGTTTTCCTCGGGATTGTAGAGACGAGATAAAGCATCTGCTTTGAGGTTCTTTGTACCAGGACGATATGAAATGTCAAAGTTAAAACGAGTGAAGAACAAAGCCCATCTCGCCTGCCGGGGATTAAGACGTTTGGCCTCTCGGAGATATTGAAGATTTTTATGATCAGTGAGAACTGTGAGTCTTTCCTTGGCCCCCTCTAACCAGTGTCTCCATTCTTCCAGAGCAAGCTTGATGGCTAGTAGTTCTCTATTGCCAATGTCGTAATTCATCTCTGCTGGGGAAAGTTTCTTTGAGAAGTAAGCGCATGGATGAAGACGGGCCGGGTTTCCCTGCTGCTGTGAGAGCACCGCTCCCACCCCTGTAGTAGAGGCATCTACTTCTACGATGAAAGGCTTGGTAGGATCTGGATGGGTAAGGAGTGGTGCTTGTGTAAAGGAGTCCTTTAAGCTTTGGAAAGCTAAGGTGGCTGCAGGTGTCCAAGACAGAGACTTGGGTTTCTTTCGGAGCAGGTTTGTTAGGGGTGACGTGATGGTACTGTAGTTGGGGATAAATCGGCGGTAGAAGTTAGAAAATCCCAGAAAGCGTTGTAACTCCTTGATGGTGGTAGGTGTTGGCCAGTCCCGGACTGCATTTACCTTCTCCTCGTCCATCTGAATACCATGCTTACTAATCCAGTAACCGAGAAACTTTACGGATGGTTGATGGAAAGTACATTTCTCAGCTTTGAGGAAGAGTTGGTGTTTTCGGAGACGTTGGAGGACCTCCGCAACGTGATGGCAATGTTCGGCCAGGCTCCGGGAGTATATCAGAATATCATCTATGTAAACGATAACGGAGTGATGAAGGAAATCTCGGAGCACCTCGTGCATGAAATCCTGGAATACGGAGGGGGCGTTTACTAAACCATACGGCATGACCAAGTACTCATAGTGGCCAGTAGGTGTCACGAAGGCGGTCTTCCACTCGTCTCCCTCACGTATCCGGACGAGGTTATAAGCGCTGCGGAGGTCCAATTTAGTAAACACGGTGGCCCCACGAAGTTGCTCAAGAGCTGTTGGAACCAGAGGAAGTGGGTACCTGAACTTGACAGTGATGTTATTGAGTGCTCTGTAATCTATGCAGGGCCGTAAGCCTCCGTCCTTCTTAGCTACAAAGAAAAAACTAGACGCAGCAGGGGAAGTGGAAGGGCGGATGTAGCCTTGTTGGAGTGCTTCTGCAATGTATTCTTCCATAGCCTTCTGTTCCGGAAGAGAGAGTGGATAGATTTTACCGTGGGGCACTGGTTCATCTGGCAGGAGATCTATGGCGCAATCCCACGGTCGGTGTGGTGGTAGAGATGAAGCTTTTC